GAAAAACGGGAATTTTTACGCAAAATCAATTTTTGAGAAAATTGAATTTTGATATTGGTTAAATTCTAAAAAAAAATTACCGTAAACACATGGAATTTTCACTATATGTTTATACTGACATTTTCTATACCTACTTGATAAAATTTTCAAAATATTTCAAATATTTTAAAGTCATTTATAGACATCTGAAATTGTCCAGTTTTTTAGTTTTTTATTCTATAAAACTCAATAAAATTATATTCATTTATATTCATTTATTCATAAAACTTAAAAATTTAAKACAAGGTTTCTCATAAGTTTATATAATAAAAATTGAAAATTTTTTACTAAAAATGTAACACAAGTTCCCTGTGTTTTCGAAGCGGAAATTTACTTATGTACATTTTAAGATCAATAAAAAAAAAAAATAAAATAAAATATGAACACTGTAAAATAATATAGTTTTCAATGTAAATAAAAACAACAAAATACAACCCAAAGTACCTAACTTAAATTTTGTAATCCAATGGCCTCTGTCGCCGAGGGTATATTTCGTGTTAATTAAAAAAAAAAATTGAAAAATATTAAAAATACATAGGCACGTTTTTTTTATAACTATTTGAAGTCCAAATTTTGACAAAATTTAAAATTGTATATGTTATCTTCAGATTAAAGCCTTATATAGTTGTGTGGGTAAATTAATTTTCAGTTTGGAGGAAAATTCACAACACGAACTAAAATAAATGCCCAAATGATTAAAAATTTACAATATTGTACTTAAACTTTTTATGTTATTTGTTATCATAATTGACAAATAAATAGATAAATATAAAGACAAATTTGGATTTTGAATTTGATAAGTTTGAAACGGAAGAAGTACAATGATATTGTGCTTTTTTAATCTTTAGTTCTGATATTTTCCAATAGATGGCATTATATAACATTATAGTGTATAATAATATAAAATCATAATACTATATTATTACAATAACAGTCGACTTTTTAACGCCAAATGGCAAACAAAAAAAATTATGTTCTATACGTATTTATGTCTCTACTAACGAAATGGATATAATATGTTGTGAAAGTTATTAACAAGTGTATAATTTATTGTACCTAAATAATTGGTATCGATCAAAGTATTAAATACATAATATGAATATTGTATTTAAAATTTATTTTCACAAATATGTCATTTTGATATCATACAATAATATATTAAAAAAATTAACTTTAAATTTAAATAAAATACAGGATTGTAAAAAAAATTATTATTATAATTATAAAACTTATTAAATAATAAAAGTTTAATACCTCCTACAATATTAATATACATGATTTTTTAAGGACTGTTTATGTATTTATTATTAAGGGGTAATATTTAGGCGATACACTTTGTACTTGGCGCTAGGTGGGCGCTTACACGATTTTAGACACATTGGCMCACTGCAAAGTACGTAATGACACATATTATATGATAATTATTATCATATAATTTGTGGTACTGCGTWCAAGATAATATGTAGTGGTAACTGTGGTGTAGGTAACTAGGTACGCATAGA